AAACCACAGCCCAGCAGAGCAGCACTGGCAGGGGACCACACTGCTCCCATGTAAATGTTTTAGAATCATAGAATCATTAAGGTTGGAAAAGACCTATAAGATCATCGAGTCCAACCGTCAACCCAACACCACCATGCCCACTAAACCATGTCCCTAAGTGCCTCATCTACCCGTCTTTTAAATACCTCCAGGGATGGTGACTCAACCACTTCCCTGGGCAGTCTGTTCCAATGTTTAACTACTCTTTCAGTAAAGAAATTTTTCCTTATGTCCAATCTAAACCTCCCCTGGCGCAACTTGAGGCCATTTCCTCTCGTCCTTTCACCAGTTACTTGGGAGAAGAGACCGACACCCACCTCACTACAACCTCCTTTCAGGTAGTTGTAGAGAGCAATGAGGTCTCCCCTCAGCCTCCTTTTCTCCAGGCCAAACAACCCCAGTTCCCTCAGCCGCTCCTCAGAAGACTTGTTCTCCAGACCCCTCACCAGCCTCGTTGCCCTTCTCTGGACACGCTCCAGCACCTCAACGTCCTTGTAGTGAGGGGCCCAAAACTGAACACAGTATTCGAGGTGCGGCCTCACCAGTGCCGAGTACAGGGGCACGATCACTTCCCTACTCCTGCTGGCCACACTATTTCTGATACAGGCCAGGATGCCATTGGCCTTCTTGGCCGCCTGGGCACACTGCCGGCTCATGTTCAGCCGGTTGTCGACCAGCACCCCCAGGTCCTTTTCCGCCAGGCAGTGGCTCAGCCACTTTCTAGGCTCCCTTGTACACGACAGGACCACTCAGGGTCTATATCTCTACTCCACTATATCTCAGGGCTGTATCTGTACTGGTAAACTATACCATAGCAGCTGCCTGGCATCGGACTGTGATGGTCTGCCACGCTGAGCTGCTAGGATGGTCCCTGGCATGGTTTTGGCCTGGGCCAATTTGCAGTCTCCCAAATAACACTTGGGCACGGTTCAGGTGCCAGCACAGGGACCATCCCCAAGAGGCAGCTTGAATTTGGCCACCCGGTTTTGGAGACAATGAAGTTGAGGCTATAGTTGACTGGTTTCAACGCAGCTCGGGGACAGTTCCGAGCCCCGGAAGGTGCACAGCTCCAGATCGCCCCAGGGGAGGG